GGATCGATAAGTTCGGAAGACGTCATTACTCCACTTGGATAATATATTCATGATTGTGATCAGTGGTCGAGTATCCCACTACCTCTAGTTATGTGACTGTTTGGAACTTTTTGTCACGGAAGTCGGAGCGCAGAGAGGTAAAGAATATGGGCTGACACAGCATCGAAAGGTGCGAGCGGACAGCTCGAGACTATGGTCCCGAAGAGCGGGGGCTTCCGGGTGGGTGAGCCACTATCATGTATGAAATGTGATTTATGTTGGGAGGTGCTAGTTCACGGTAGTCACAAAACGCTGTGAAGTCAAAAGGGCATAGAAGAATGCAGGGACTTGGTGCTGTTCAAAAACTCAAGTATTCCGTAGACTGCCGCTTCTAGAGCTCAGCCAGTTCATTTCACTTTTTTTTCTCAGCATATTCGTTCAGTTTGCTCACCCTCGAGTTAATATGTGTTTCGCTACAACGCATTTCCGTCAGTTCGGGTATATCAGGTGGAATATTTTCAGTGCATGGCACAATGATTCAAGATTCCAGTGTCTTAAACGGTTAGCAATTTGTGTCTCACGAGCTACTTATTTACAAACCTGCCTCACTTTTTATTTTTCTGGTATCTCTATATCGAAAGCACACGGTTCTTTCAGTTGTTAGGTCACTATTGTTGTGTGTTACTTTTATCAAAGTTAAGCCGACGATCAATGTGAGCCTGCTCTTACACCAGTTAATAAAATTTATCAGAGTTGTGTGAATGTTCATCCTCATGTTAAGAGTTTACAGCAAGAAGTGGAAACGACTTCAATTGCGTTTTCACTGCCATCGTGACCATTTAAAAAACCGAAATGAAGCATAAATCTGATAGCAAGGAAAGACACAAAAAGGGAACAGTATCCACCCTAGCCTAGATTTGGTGCAATAGGCTGTTAGCGTACTACGTTACTAACTATTTTTTCCTGCAGGTGCCTTCAGTCATCCCAGGCACGCATCGCTTGGTCTCGATCCGCGGCGAAAGCCGTTACAAACGAGAACATTCGCACCAGGACCCAGTTGGTTAAATTTAGCAAAGCTGCGTCCTGTCTTGTCAACTAGCTATTCTCAAATGGACTGCGAGCGATGCGTCGACTCGGGGGTAGTATACAGAGTGAGGAGCCTTATTTCCCAGTGGCGGCGTCGCGCATTACAGACGGATTATTTCCTAGCTATTTGACTAACTGACACAGAGAGCCAGTCGGTCCGAAAGACGCAGACACAGTGTGAGTTGACTTGCCGCTACACTGCTTCGTTGAGTGGATTGGATCCTAGTGCGAACGCTGCGTGCGTCATCACATTACGCTTAACTTACTTTTTACTGACAAGTGACTAACACGCTCCTATGTGGCCGCGTACTTTTTTAGCTGAAAGGTGTTACTGCCGTTGAGTCTGACTTCACGGTAGTCGCAGTTTGACGGGAGTTCCTGACGCGGTCTCGTAGTAGGCGAAGTTGATGAGATGCTCGATGGGGGTAGGACGTTATTCTATTAGGTTGGACGGAAAGTCCTGCGACACTTTGACCAAATTTTCGGACCAAATTTGTCTTCACTAAAAGACACCTCCAATCTACAAGGTAACCACAGTTGATGACTAGGACTAGTGCCCATCTTTTGCACAGCTTCTCATTTCCATTCTCATAGAACTACGGCAACTATGATAAAAAGAAGAGGTGGACCTCATTTTCGAGTAGACAATTTTTTCATTTTCTAAA